TCACGTTACTTGGGTAGGTTACGAAGGTTGCTTAACATTTTTCTGCAAAGGATCGCGATTCTTCTGCGAGAAATAAATTTCAAATGTAACATACAATTTCTGAATAATAATTAAAAATTTTTCTTAGCTAAAGAAATTTCGAGTTTAATATACTGTTCGAATTATTATCGACATAATCATTCGAACATATCTGCTGAATAATACAGTAATGTTCGTAATAATTCACTTCTTAATGTCCCAAGATTTACATAAACTTGACTTTATTTACTCCCGTTATCTAAATTTAAATATTGCCTCTTCTCCTCGCCATGTTCCTCGAGATTCTAAATAATCCTCGACAAATCGAGCTTGCCCGCTTCTCACCTTCCTGACAATTTTATTATTCGAAATCAATCCACTCTATATATCAAGTACCAATCCACTGTACTATCTGCCTGACCCCGGTTCCCGATCACAAATAAGCATTCTCCGCTGTCTCATTCCAGATATCTCGGCGTCTATCGTCCGATAAACTCAAAAATCAGCGTATATATCAATTTTTCTACGACGCTCGTTAATTCCGATATATTGCACATCAGCTTCCTTACTTTTCTTTATTCATTCGTTATTTATCGTTCGGTAAACTCTGAAAGCGACGAACTCGGATTCCTCGGCGGATCTCCTGTTATTAATTTCCGCGAATCGCACCTGAAAATCTGTATTTTTCGTCACGCTTCACACACAGCGCTGATAAGGGAACCGGTGAGAGGCGAAGCTTTATGGCAGCAATTACGAATGCAAATGTTTTCGTTTGCTTTACCGTGATCCGGCGAACAAGTACCGATGACACGGCGATGCAACGAACGCTCAACTCTGTGCGAAATGCGGGCAAATACCGGCAGATATTTCATTATCAATGCATTATCGTGACACAGCAATGACACTCGGTTACCGGTGCAATCGTCGAAAAGAATTTTGTAGTATAATCTTTGTAGTATTTTTCCACGAGCTTGGTGCCGCCTGCACTTCCTCGGCGGCCATATTGGAATCCTCCGGGTCCCTCAGCCGGCTTTCACGTTTATTTTCGCGCTATTTCGAGTCTCCTTTTAAAAACAATAACTCGCCTGAATAACAATTAATAGTATTTTCGTGTCACCGTTGTGGAGATACAATAGTGGGATTAGAAATCGGTGACAACGAATTCTTTCGTCGATAACTATAATCTGGTCGCCATTATATGTACAATTATACATTTGTCGCTTATTATTTGGTGCTCTTTTCTTCATTTATTTTCCAGTGATTCTTGGTTTCTATTTCGCGTTTCTATTTAAAATTTCCTAATAATCTATATGCAAGTGCGATTTTCAGTTGTGTGATACTAATTCACCAAGCGAGTGTATAATTTATAATCAAGCAAAATAATATTTATACGATTTTATATAAAATTTGTTGGGTGTAATTTAACTTTTGCGAACCGAAGCATTTGGAGATTCCGACACTGGAATTATTTCGTTGTAATTAAATTACTTATTATTGAACGATTTTAATTAGCTTGATCGGAGAAAACTACATCGAATTTGATACAAGCTGTAACGGTATCAAGAATATCTATAAATTCGCAGCGTAGAATTCGCGACCCTGAATACCAATGCCAATAATCATCCCGTCGATCGAGTAATTAAAGGAACATTATTGTCTTCCGTGAAAATAACAATGCACACTTTCATAACGCCTTTATAAAGCCCTGCAAAAAAACTCGCCGCTGAATAAGAATGCGGCTGAATAAGAATTTATGAATCCTGTTAATTATATCCTCAACTATCGACGAGAAAAGAACCCACGAAAAAAAGAAGAAAAACCGGAAGAGAATAAACCATTATCTTCGCGATACATGAAAAATCCATAAAATAAAGAGGCAAAAGAAAAAACAAAATCGAAGTCGAAAACACACGTGATCCCGAAAAATAATCGATAACGATCGCTATTTGCCCGCTGTGATCACTATCATATCACAAAGTACGCTGAATAAACGCGAGAAACAAGACGATATAAATAATCTCGGCTAAAATTAACAATACCTTCATTGATTAATCCCACTACCTCAAAAATCAGAGATAATTTACAGACATTCGTATTTTTCTTTGTCTGCGACAAAAGGTGGCATCTCGCGCATTAACCAGGCTTTAACCTCCGGTTCGAACCGCTCGCAAGGGGATTCCTCTGCTGCGAATTTCCTCTTACGTCGAACGACTCGTATTAAAACTCATGAATATCGATAAATCGACCAACGTCATCGTTTTTGCACCTACTGTCAACTCTTTCGTAGTTCGCGAAGCGATATAACCCAAGATTCCACACCGATCCCATCGCGCAGCGATTTAAACGATTTTTCGACATGGCGGCGCGCGCGGGAAATTTGAACAGCGTTGCATTGCGCGACACGCGATTACGTAACTGCGATAGACGCGGACAAAGCGATCTCGCGGTCGCGTGCGCAACCTGTAATTCTCTTTCATTCAAGGGTATCAAGTTTCTGAAGTACATACGTGTCACTGTTGCCGGAATTCCCGCGTCTCCGTATCTGTAATTTCGCTAACTGATTTCGCGATTACTCAGCGGAGGAATTCACTTCGAGCCATAAACAGGGGTTGCCCTTTGTCCCAAGTACCGGGAATAGAACGGAAACTGCAATTTTCTTTCTCGATAATCGAGAAAATGGAAGAACCGTTGGTACCTTTTGGAACTAGAAACAGCACTTGTTGCGCTGATCCTGCGCGCAGGTGGTTGTAAAAACCGAGGAACGTTCGTAGTATGGATTCCACTACGCGTTTGCTATATAAGATTCCGAGAAACGTTTATAGCGAGGCAAATATGGAAAAAGCTTCAATTTTATTCAATGCTCCATGGATTTATTTGTCATCGGCAAAGATACGAAGGATCCTTCGCGTTTGCCATGCAGAGGAAACGTATTGGAACGCAGTTGAGTTCACTGAACGGTTGATTTGCGTTGAGAGGTATGCAAAGAAATTTGCGCGAGAGGAAAAACGGAGAATTGCGAAAAAGAGACGGAATAGTACGAGTCGAGGATCGGCAAATTACGAGACGGTTGGGAAAATGATAAAAATGAAATTGCCGGTTGGATAATCGCGACGATTAGGCGAGCCGTGCAAATTATGATCGAAATGGCTCCATTGTAATTCGCGCGTGGCGGCGAAATTTTCCAATTAGCCTTGTTAAAATTTTATCGCACGTGGGTTGATTATCTAATCGTTGATCGAACCCGTCGTTATCGAGATCCAAGCTTCGTCTGCGTTTGTTTCCTTTTCCTCGAACAACGAAACGTCGATCGTTCTTCCTCTTCTTTTTGTTTCTTCACGTTCGTCAGCTTGTCTCCATTTCTATTGCACCCGTGTCCTTTTAATAAAGAAAACTTGATTTAAACTTGATTTAACAGGCAAGCTAGCCGATATCGCTCATCGATCATCGCTTAGATCGATCTTCGTATCAGCGCTCGTTCGATAGCTTAATTCCATTCGAGATCGAAATCGTTCGACGCGATAATAGAGCAACTATTTCGAGTCGTGTCGTTTCGTTCGACTTCTGGAAACTTTCAGACAGCCATCTAAGATAATGAACGATTAACTTACGCTTCGACAAACAACGTTTGGTTCACACGATAGTCGGTGCCTTCATTTACATACCTCTGAAACGAATTCGGCGTGGCGCCAAGTGTGAAAATTACTGAGTCATTTGGAATTTCTCGATTTCGATTTTCTAGAAACACGTGCTTAACAACTCGGTATCAAAATATTACCGTGGAAACCGGTGACCTGGAAGTAACCAGAAATACAAATTTAAGTAGTACGAACTTCCCCGATCTTGATAAAGCAACAACAGCCGGAGTTTCGATCCTCGGTAAAGAATCCTTTATCGCCTCACAGGACGATTTTTGTTAGAAAGATAGAAAAATATAAAAATTCTGCGCCGCTCAGACATCTATTTTATTCCTCCAGAAAGGATCCTGTAACCAAACACCAAACGAATCCAATACCACAATATCCATCAACCAAAAGAATCCTAATTTAGATGTAACAAAATTACAAATTAGTCCACCAATGGAAGAAGATATTCAAAAATATAGAAATTCCATATCACCCACACACTTGTTTTAAAACTTGACTCTTAGTTCCCCCAAAAGAAAGCTACTAACCAAACACCAAATGAATAACACACAATGTAAAACCACTTTGCTGTTACGTAAGGACTATCTGTTATATTCCAAGAGCAGGACATTCACTCAGTTAACAACTGTCATAACAATCCACCCGAATCGCCATCAACGTTCTAACCCATCGCAAGCTGAAACTCATCAGCCACGCGACTAATCCTTCACCAGACACCAGACGCAGTATCCTCCGGGTACACTCACCTGCTCGTCAACAACATCGTCGTGTCTCGCTTCCCTGTCGCGAGAACTTACCTGGAAAGAGGAGACAAAGCGAGAGAGAGGGACAAGAATAGAAAGAGAGAGGCAGAGAAGTAGAAGAAGAAGGAAGAGGAACGAGTCATGAGAAAACCCGACCGGCGAGGAAACGGGAGGAACGGCATCAGAGCCGCGAAATCCCCCGTTCACGGAGTTCTCCAGTGACGTCACGACGATCCACGGGGCCCAAAGGCATCGTCCAATGGCCGCGCGACGCCGCTGGTGGGGCATCGCTTTCGTCTGCACGCGCTATAAAGCCCCACTAATTGTCCACGCGGCGTACAGTCCGTGCGTGCCCCCTTTTAAACGACGATGTAGCGCGGCGCCCGAAAAATCGTTGATCTCGTGCACACGTCGGCCAAGATCACTGTCACGATCGAGATCGAGCACGTGTCCCGGGATATTGGGATCACGGGAGTCGTTGCGATCTGCGGTCAAATCGTTCCTTATATTTCTGAGAACAGTGTGAGAGAAGAAGAAGACAGAGAACTAGAAGAAAAAGAAGAAGTGATCACGGGAGTCGTTGCGATCTGCGGTCAAATCGTTCCTTATATTTCTGAGAACAGTGTGAGATAAGAAGAAGACAGAGAACTAGAAGAAAAAGAAGAAGAAGAAGAAGAAGAGGAGTCGTGAAATCCATTGGCAGTCTCCGAGAGTAGGCAGCTCGATTTTAGTGCCCTCCGGAAATTTGCACGAGCCTGGACCAAGATCTGTGATAGCAAGTGGTGCCAAGTTCGGAAGAGAAGGTAAACGCTATAGTTTGGATCGATGTGTATCAGGTGTATCGTCGTATTCGTTTCGCATTTATCGTTGAGAAGACCGAGAAGAAGGTAAGAGGATGATGCGGGTAGCCTCGATCGTCTTGATAGATCGGAGGAAGCTTCTCCGCTGAATAATAATAAGTCTCCGGCTCTGGAACCTGGACTGGTCCACGAAGAATAGGTGAACGTCACCTGACAGCAACCAGTAGAGACTTTGTTTCTCCCTTGGCTCCGTTCTGTGTCGCTTTCGTGCGAGAAACGATAGACTTCTGAGAAGAGTCTCCCAAGTTGCCGAATAGACGCTTGCTCGAGTATCGAGGTTAGACTCGAGAAATATACCTGGGATCGGTAAGAGATGGACCGGTTATTCCGATATCGTTGGGGATTTAAGCGATTCCAGGCTCGCGGACTTTCTTTCTCTGATATCGTATCGTTGCTGAATTTTCTCTCGGAGGAGAAAGAGGCGCGACCTCTCCAACGGGTGACTTCGAGGTGGACTGGTTAGAGGTGAAACCGATCGTTCCACTTCGCGTTATTGCCCGTGGTTCGTGCGAATTCCGCGGAATCGAAACTCCTGTCGCCGACATCTCGCGTGCATCGATGAATTTCAATGGCGAGATCGCGATCACCATTACGATCGCTTTCCCTGATCGGTTCGAGGGCGAGGAAACTGGCCTGCCGAGAGGTATCACGTATGCAAAATCATGTAACTGTGCTAGCCGCACTTGCTAATTACCTCTTCTGGGATATAAAAGCTGTTCAAGGTCCGCACTTTCTTGTAACCGGTTACCAGCAACACACCACTGTCGTTCGCGAGGTGGAACGGAAGCGATCGATCGATAGCGATCGTCCTTAAATCGTTCCAACCGACCGTTCCGAGTTATGACGAGATTAATTGCTCTACTTGCGGATAAGTTATGGATCGCGTTCGATCTGCAAAATCTGTTCCGTTCCCGCGACCTTCGATTTTCCAATCGGTATTTCTCGGATCGATTCTTGGCACACTGGATGTATACGGATCTATAGGAAAGTGGTTCGAGTGAGAAGTTTGAGAGTAGAGTATCGAAGTGAAAAATAGGGAGATTGTCATGATAAAGAATTTGCAATTCAGATTTGCAAAAATCTGAAGTTCACTTTTAATTTGGGTTGCATTCGTTGGTAAATTATTTTTAGAAAATGGCGAGAAATTGAACGAAATTGGAGGGAGTTCGAGAGTTTGTCGTAATTTAATTTTTAGTTTCTAATGTACTTGAAGTACTGAGATATTTGCGACTTAGACAATTCTCGTGATCTTAGCTACATATCGATTTGCGATTTTTCGTCTTTTATCCGGTGATCGGTAATCGAAAATAGGTCGCCTTCGTCTAGGAGATTCCATTTCCTTCGAATTCCCATATTTCTTGACGAGAGTCATTTTCAACTTCGGATTTCGAAATTTTTCCTTGTCGATTTTTTGCAGGATTCCAGTAAAATCGAAAGCGTTTGTGAAAAAGGGTCCATAAACAAAAATCGTGTAAATCGTGTGAAGAGTCCTCCACTTTCGCGATTCTTTAAACGATCCATAGATCTATCGATCTCTTTATCGAAAGCATCAATGTTTCGCGTATTTCGATTAGGTATAATTCTTATAATCGATGACATCTCGTAAATGGTATTTTAATTTGATAAATATATTTATTTTCTAAAAAAATTTGCATTAATCGAGTTGGTAATTTAATATTAACGATCGCGACAAAAATGCGTTCTTATTATTCTCGCATGCGATCCGGAAATGAACAACAACTCGATTGATCATTGCTCTACGGAGGGAATACATCAGAAATGACTAGTTGATAGATTCAAACATGTTTACTTGGTATTCCTTTTTATCGAAGGAAATGTATTTTTATTGTCGTGCCGTTTGCACGAGTAAAAATGTATGCTTCAACTCAGGCAATTACTGCATAGTGATAAAAATCTATTATGATCGAGCAGTTATTTAAAGTGCGTTTACTTTGCATATAGTTTTTTCTTCCTCTTTTGCCGCAGATAAAATGCATATTTAAGTACAATCAGCTTTTAAACATTTTTTTCATTCTCACAGGTAATATGGGAACCTATTTAAAAAAAAAAAAAAAAAAGAATTCTATATTCCACCTACACCATTTTTTACCTTCTTTTTTCTCTCCGCTAATTTCCGGTTTTGGAAAATTTAAATACATGGGTACTCGAAGATTGGAATGTTTAAAAATATGAAAATTCGAAGATTCGAATATTTAAAATTACGAAAATTCGTAGGGTTGAAAATTTAAAGATACGAGAATTCGAAGAATTGAATATTTAAAAATACGAGAATCCAGGGAATTGAATATTTAAAATTATGAAAATTCGAAGGCTTTAAAATTGAAAAACATGGAAATTCGAAAACTCCAAGGTTCAAGACTGATCTCAAAGTCGTAAATTCAGAATAACATTTTTCACATGATCGCTCCATTAAATACAATACTTTATCTGTCATTGGATAAGTTTCTCACAGCTGACTTTATGTCCACACGAATCCACCACTTTTAAATGTATCTTTCTTATCTCGCATCTTAAACGCCTGTGAATTCCTAATTCAGAAATAACCGTCATGAATTACTCGTCATTGGACGCAGTCATCGTTCTCGACATCGATCGATCGATCCTTTATTCCATCGATCCGTTCCGCCGAGATTCTCCTCTCGTATCTATCGACTTTCCGTTGCACGCTGCGATTCAAACCAGTCATGGTATCCGCGAAATACTTTATGCAAATTTCACCGAGCCCGTAGAAAATAGCAGTTATGTCACGGACTCGTCGCTTCCGGTTCTCCCGCCATTACTGCTCTTTTTTATCTGCGCAAGTCCCGTGGTATTCGCAGCGATCATTAATTACACGTAACCGTAATAAATAAGCATCTCGACTTATGAAACACTTATATTAGTTCGTCCTGTGTTTTACACGTGTTCTCCCTTGCCGATTACTCGATCGCGATTCAACGAAACCTGAGAGATCTCGCGAGGAATCGAAGGTGACATCTCCAACGTTCTCCAAGAATCCTGTTAATTAAATAGCATAACGCAAACGTGGAATGGAAATATTTTTAAACACTCGAACAAATGATTTAACATTCGTTGATCTTCGTACCTGACGTCTAAGTGATTTACGAGATTGAAATTTCAATTGGTTATAAAATAAAAATAGTACCTGGAAAAATTGCTATTTTTATTTTTCGCAAAGAATTGAACCTTCTGCAAGTGATTCTGTCAAATAATATAACGGAAATAATGAGTGGAAATATGTTTAATAATTCGAGGGAATGGTTTAATATTCGTCGACCTTTGTATCTCTAACGTCTAAGTGATTTGCAAGATTTCAATCGGTTAAATTGCACGGTGTAAATATCGTATCGTGTTGTAGGATGGACGAAAAACGAGCGTGCAAAAGGGGATTTCTCTTTGGGGATAAAAAGATTTGTTAGAGGACGAAGGTGGTAGGACAAAGCGTTTAATTGGCGGCGAATTAAGGACTCAATTATGGAAAGAGGCGTTTCTGGAGACGGTGGTTCTTGATTCGATGTTCGTGGCGTCGACCTTCGTGCAGTGAGAAGTAAAAAATCAGTTAACGGTGTCAAATCTTTATCGAGAATTTTTCTTCAATAACATTTCAATTTAAATTAACGGAATCGGTTTGAATAATATACGAATTGTAATAACAGATCAACATGGAATAATATTTTAATTCGTATAATGGAACTAAATTAAATAATATTCAAAATTTTAATACTAGACCAGAATTGAATATTTTAATTCGTATAATTGAATGATATTTGAATTTTAATAGTAGATAAAATTGAATAACATTTGAAATTCTATAGTATTCCAATTTTAATGATAGACGTAAATCAACTGATATTTGAATTTAAATAAATTATAAAAATTATCCTAGAATTATGTTGTCTTATTTGCAAACGAACAATCTCTTGCAAAATAAGACAACTAGTTTAGTACCGTGTAAGATAACAGGCCATAGTAATTTTATCTCACAAACGAGTTAATTTTGACGTTAATTACTAACCACATGAATAAGGAATTAGTTGACGCTATTAAATTATTCTCGATAATTTTAATCGGATAATTCGAATTCGAATAACAGAATAAACTATGATGACATTTGAATTTTAACAAGTGATCCAAAACAGACAATATCCAAGTTTGAAAAAATTACCAAAATTATCCCAATTTCGGGATTTCATCTAAACGAAAATTCCTTTGAAAAATATACCTAACGAGTACACTCCAGGTACACTGTGCCAGATACGAAGATAAACTAGAACTCGGGACGTGATACTTTATCATCTCAGTGAATTACTTTCCACGTTAATCACTAATCACGTAAGGTAAACAAAAATTAACCTTGGACTAACTTCGTCCAATTTTTCTCGACAACTTCTCTCGGATAATATTTCAATTTTAATTTTATCAAACTCGATTAACATCTAAATTTCAAAGATAAGCTCGAAACAAAGAATATTCGAATTCGAAAAAATCCTTGAAATTATCTCCAACGTTGTTTCTCCTTGTCTCCAAACAATCTCTCGAAACACGACACCAATACAGTCCACTACCAATATATCGACATAAACTGGAACTCGAGGTGTGATACTTCGTCATTCAAATGAATTTCCTTTGACGTTAATTACCACCCGCATACCTCGCACGGTATATTTCATGCTCTTTATTCTACGACCTCTCTCTCAAACCGATATTTCTATCTTCTACCTTTTCCAACTCGGAAAACCACAAAGACTCTCAAAAAACTTCAGGGAATCTCAAAAAATCCGGCACCCCAAATTTACGAAAAAAGGGGGCAATAAGAAACGAAGCGTTTAAGGAGACAGGTTACCTAGAACGTATAATGTAGCATGTAAGTGACTGCAATAAACCTTCGATATTATCCTGCGTTTTACAATAACCTTGCAACAATGACCAGCAATCCGTCATATTTTTTCTCGCTGTGCAGCAAATTGCAGAATTCAGATCGCTTTTTCCAGCTTCATCAACAATAGGCCTGGCTCACCTTGAAAATCCGCTCCTTTACTCGCGATCGTATCGAGCCGAAGGAGGAAAAAGTAACGCGAAATATGCACTCACTATAATCGCATTTCCGTCCTTTCAACAGACCCGAAGGTTCCATCTTCGTCTCGGCTTCGCTAACAAGCTCGCCCATCTCCTTCCGCCCGATAAAAGGAAGATGGTCGACTTTGGAGAACAAAGGACCGACGCGAGTATGCTGCTTCTCGAGATTATCGGTAGTATCGTAGTATCGGTGGCATAGCCAAGCTCCACTGGCTCTCGTAAATATTCGTTTCAATTCGCGACCTTTACCCGGTTGCTCTCGTCCATTATTTTATCATTAATTTTATCACTTTTATCATTAATTGCTACTTCACCTATTGTCGACATGGGAGATAAACGTGGAATATTAATATACACTAGCGTACAATAATGAGAAAAGATGCATGATAATATTGGTATGAAGTGAAGTGGAAATAGCGATATGGAAACGAATAATTAATGATCGTGGAATGATACTATCGTGTAACTTTCTAAATTTATAAACGCAATTGTTTAATTTTAATAATTCAGCTGAGAGCACGGTGGCTTTCAGATGAATATTTATGGGGTCCGAGTTAATTATGTTAGAGGTGTAACATACTGTCGTCGAATGAATTCGTTAAACGACGATTTTGATTCATTTTCTGTATCTGGTGACGGATCTAGGTGAGCAGAGTTATCAGTTTAAATTTTATCTGACGTGTTTCATGATTATACTCGTGTTCCTCTATTTTGATGCATAGAACTTATTAGCGATTATGATATCTCATAATAGGGTCAATGGGGACACGAGGTGGAATTTAATGGAAGAAAGTTGACCGAGTTGGTAGATGATAGCTAGGCTTCGTCGATTGCAAGGTGGTGAGGATTAAGCGAAGGAAGGTTCGCCTTGAACTCGGTTTCCCCGTAACAGGTAACTCGAGTTGAGTAATCGTGGATGTTTGATTCGCAGAGATCGAGATAATGACAGTGATGGTGGAGTCCGTGAAAGCCGAGGAGGGCGATCGTCCGAAGATCGAGACCTTCGACGACATCCTACCGTACGTCGGCGAGGCCGGTCGCTACCAATGGTTGCTCTTCGTCGTGCTCCTGCCCTTCACCTTCGTCTACGCGTTCCTCTACTTCACGCAATTCTTCATCACGCTGCTGCCCGCCGAACACTGGTGCACCGTGCCAGAACTCAGCCATTGGGACCTCACGGACGAAGAAAAGTGAGTGAAATTTACATTACGAATTCGATTCCGTTCGATCGCTGAATTATTGAACGCTCGGTTGTTATTCGGTTACGTGTTTGGAAATACGAAAGAATTGCGGTACGGGAATATCGTGATACCGTTTCGAACGTTTGAAAATTTCAGAGCTTGGAACTTTCGACTTAAAAGCTTCGATAACCTGAAAATTCGGAAATTCGGAAATTCAAGAATCCGAATTTTTGACATTTTAGAACTATGGGAATTCGAATATTTGAAAATTCGAAAATTCGGGAATCCGAATATTTGAAAATCGGAAACTGGGGAATCCGAATACTTGACATTTCAGAACTATGGGAATTCGAATATTTGAAAATTCGAAAATTCGGGAATCCGAATATTTGAAAATCGGAAATTGGGGAATCCGAATACAAGACATTTCAGAAATATGGGAATTCAAAAATTTGAAAATTCGGAAATTCGGGAATCCGAATATTACAAAATTCAGAAATTGGGGAATCCATAAATTTGAAAATTCGCAGCAAAATTCCAAAACTAAAATCCCAAGCTTTCGAAATCCCAAAGCACCGACCTTTAAAAGCGAAAAAATCCGATAATTCGAGGGCTCGAAAGTGGAAAAGAATGATTAATTCAAACTTGCCATTGTCAACCTCGTTTGCTCGCGAAAAAATTACCGCGATTGCGCGATATCGCACACCCTACTACGTAATAGTCATTTTACCTTGCATCGAGCGCGATAACCGGTGCGATTTATAGGAAATCAGTACGCATTATCGTTAAAGATTTCATACCGTGGTTAATTATAACCATCGACCGCGAGACGCGTATACACACACGCATCTGCATACCATCCACGATATACCTGATTTAGTCTAGCGCGGCACGTGAATCAAACCAGCCTTCCCGAAACTTACTTTGTTTTCCGAGCAGGTGACAATAAATATCCTCGACGGCAGAATCTTCCACTCGGAGATTTCCATTTCCTGTCCGTGATAACGTATCGCGTCGCGACACTTTGTTGCATCCAGCCATAATATTTGCATGAAAAGTCTAGTTATTAAACGGATCAAAATCGTCGTCTACCTCTGATAAACGTACCTCCGAATCAAACCTCTCGTCTATCCCCTCTGTCTTCAGCCGCATAGATAATCGAGACGACCGCATGGCCCGATTCCACGCAATTATATCGGCTTCGTGGTCGTGACGCGCGGAATCTGGTTCTCCGAGACGCGTCAACAAGGAAAACCGTACGCGCATGTATTTTCCATTGAATCACCGGCGAGTCGAAAGAACGCGTGTACGCCGGTGATTTCCTAGCCTCCGAGGGCACGCCGGAAACCAGTTTGGTCGACGACCTCCGGCAGATTCTAGACGTCCACGTTCCGCGAACTGGCCGACCAGCCGATTCTTTCTCGTTCCTCGCCTCTCATTCTTTCTCTGGGAATAGACGCACCGAAACGTGCCATGATCGGCAATTAAATCCGAACGCGATCGGAATGTCTGCGATGTACATGCACTCGGGTCATGCGATCTTCCAAGCTTCACCTTTCCATTTATTTTCACCTTTCTTAACATTTTTCCTCCTTTCTTTTTGTCTTTTCTCTTTGAAGGTGAGGACCATTTTTGGTGTCTCCGTGTGTTGTCTTCATTGCTTTCTCCTCGGTTTACTTTCTTATTTTTATTTTACTTTTTTATTTTTATTTTACTTTTTTCTCCTCCCTTCTCTCTTCTTTTCTTCATCGAAGTTTGGCTAATTGCGAGTTTGTTTCTTAAGCCTTTTTAATTTACAGGAAAGATGGAATTTTGTTTAGATAGCAATTATACTTATTTGAATAGGAATTTTCCTTGCTGTCTTATCTTTTTATTTGAGATTTTTATAATATATATAATAATCAGAATAATATATTTAAGTAAATGGTATATAACATGGCCCACTTAATTGTACATATAATCGACTATTTTTCTTAAAGATATGTCACGATCTATCTACTAAAATCTTGACATTTAGCACATTCGAACACGTGTCCTGATAAATGTACTGATAAATGATAATTGGACCAATGCGATATTTCGTTAATGCGTTGATCGACAAAAATCCTACTACACGTATTAAACGATATTTATTATTAAATTATTATTCCTGTACTTGTATATAAAAATTTAAAACACGATCTAATAATTTAAAAGATATGACACAAGAATTATTTCTATTTGAACGCGAAATGCAATTGGGTGAAATTATCGTACTCCGAAATATATATGAATAATTAGTTTACCAGCGTTCCTCTCATCCCTTCGGCTAAGTTGGTCTATTAGAATAACCAATAAAATGGCGTCTCCTTTTTCCCTACTCAGGATCGCGATATCGATACCTGCAGCATCGTCGGAGGAGTTGAAGATGGAGGGTGCGACTGCGTTTTCGCGATGCAACATGTACGATGTGAACTATACCGAAATAATGGAGCAAGGTATCAGGTCGGCAGATCCATCCTGGCCAATCAAACCGTGTCAATACGGCTGGAGCTTCAATCACACGGTGATACCGTACAAATCCATAGCTGTGGAGGTGAGTTTTTATGGGACAATTATGTTCCTCGCATACCGGGTGACTCGAAAGTCGAATTTCGATAATCGGAAAATAATCATTGCTTACTTGAACTTTCTCGTGAAAGTGCACTCTTCTCGCGTGTAATTCTCGTTGCCTAATTATATAGCACTCGAATGAAATAGATCGGAATTTCTCTGCCGAGTCCAAGTGCCATAGTTGATCGACATTTCGCCAAGTCGAAGAAATGTGATTAAATATCGGGGAAATCGGGAAATTTTTTAAATAATTCCCGATAAGGAACATTCGATGAATGTTCACAGCCTTTCGCAAAGCTGCTGATTACAAGAGTGGAGTTATTAAAAAAAAATGTCCTTGTTGATCGTAAACTTGGACGTAGGTGTAATTACTTATTGCGCCGGCTGCTTCTTGACAGAGCTCGTTTAAAGCAGAACGCAAAATTAAACTCGTTTATCCTTAACGAGAAATACGCTTGCAACGATCATGACGTATTATCTACTAATTTTGAGACGAAAGTGCAACAGGTCGAAATTTCCTGCATTGCAAATTACCTACGAAGTAATTACCCTGGAAGAGAAACCGTGCAAAACACTTAACATTTAATAAATTGAATTTAATAAATATTTAAAAAATTGGAGACTTCCGAAATTGAAAATTCGACAATAAACTAATTAACTCGCTATAATAACTGCTATTATAGCAAGACATCGAAGAACATATTTCACGAAGATAACAAACGAAAATGATACTAAATTAAATAAATCCCATTAACCTAACAGCTGTAAAATTTACTACTACTGAATTACATTCGCGACAATTGCAATTTTTATTTTACACCACAATCATCTCGACTAACTAGAAACTATAAAAAATTCTTCGAAAATTCCCATTAATTAATTCCATTTAGACTATAATTGTCCATTAGACAAAACGTGGAAGAGTGGTATAAAATTCCTGTCACCCTCGTTCTTGTCATAGTTCCCAAACTTAAAATCTCATTGAGTTTCAATTATTTCATTACCACTGCCATTATCAATAAATACTTCGAGGCTCCTCTACCACTGGAATTCCCCGACCCCGTCGCGTCCAGGAAATATGCAAACCATTCGTTCCTCCGTTCAACGTCATTCCCTTTATCCTCCGTCATCCTCGCAGCCTCGCCATATTTTTCCATCAGACGTAACTGGCTCAAGCGTAATGCATCCTCTGTTTCTGTTGCAGCTGGAATGGGTCTGCGACAACACGTTCCTCAGCTCAGCAGCCCAGTCGGCCTTCTTCGTGGGCAGCATGCTCGGGGGCTTGATATTCGGCTACATAGCTGACCATTATGGCAGAATTCCAGCGTTGATCGCGTGCAACACCGTCGGCTTCGTTGCATCTGTCGGCACCGCGTTCTGCAACAGCTTCTGGAGCTTCTGCTTGGCCAGATTGGTGGTCGGCACGTCGTTTGACAACTGCTTCAACGTGCTTTTCATCATAGGTGAGTCATTGGCAGGTTACGAGTGAGGAAAGAGATTATCGAGACGAGGAAGCGTCGATGAGAACGCTTCAGCGATTCTAGGTTGACCTCGTTCGAGAACGTCAGTGGAATCACGCGTGTGATGATAGTGACAGGTATAAAACAGTGTGCATATACACGTATAGGGATTATTTTGATTGAAATCCCACGTGTTAGTGGAATTAGTGGCGAGGTTAGGGAAATGAAAAGTGAAACACGCGAGATCTAGTTGCAATAAGACTATAGCTGTACCGTGAAAGGGTTCAAGCTTTCAGACGTGTGCACTTTGATACTCGCTTTTTCCAATTGTCTCTTCTCGCATTTTCTTTTCCCTTGCTTCAACCTCGCACATTTTCTCCTCTTCCAAACTCATCCTCAAACACGCAAGAACCTCGTCTCATGGGACCACGTACCCTTAATCTTCAAGCGTGTTCCTGGACTCACACCTTGCTGGCGAAAGACACTCTAGTATGAACATCATATAACATCACTCGATCTACATGCACACGCCACCCACGTTGAAAACTTTCATTCCCACGTGTATGTGGCTTAAGACTAAACGGATGTGGCTTTACTGTGCAGCCTCGGTTCTGGGACTAGACTGAATGACCCTAGGAAGGTCCTATAAAACTCTAGCCTAAGGTTTAAGCCTGTATCGCATCGTTGATTCCAATAAGCAGGAAAATGTACAATGTGAGACTCGATGCTGGAATTTCCGTGGGTTATCATTGAGGGAACTAGTAATTCGTGAATTTTAGAAGAAATTTGTGAAGATTAAGAAGGTTAAAAATAAGATAAATATTCTATGTATAGGGTGTCCCATTTAAACTTTCACACTCGATTATTTCCTAACCTATATATAAACAATTTCTGACTCTAGAAGAAAGGTAAATTTTGAGCAGCATTAAATGATCGAACACGACATCTAAAAAATGGAATTTTTAATGAAAAATAAAAAATCAGTTAATCATGCTAGCAATTGTTAACAGTAAAGCTAGCGACTTAGCTTTAAAGCTATATCAAGTCCAACTGAATATATTAAACGCGAATGATGATACTCGAATTGATACACCTGGAAGATAAATATAATTTATAATTCACAATTTTCTGCTTGAATAAATGTCATCGTTAATTTTGGCAAATAACAAAAATGAATCTGGAACCGGTCGTTTTCGAATCGTTTGGTAGTCTAATGAGCCTCAGGTATGTTCTCTGAAACTTATCCAAAAAGTTGCATCAGAGGAGTGTCATTGAACGCTGAAACGGAAATAACAAGAATCCTCTTCTTCTTTCTTAAAACATGCTTCTCGTGTAAAAAATAATTAAAAAATTATTTTTAAAAATTTAACACGAAGTCGTAGATTCTGTCAAAATGGCAGGAAGATTGACCGAGATAGCCGATTCTAAAATAGCAACTCCGACACTTGCATTTCAAGCAGATACAGGAACTCCTCTTGAGCGTCTTCGTTCAATAAATTTGAATATTTAGGAACAATATCGTATGCCTTTCGAAATGACTGTTCAATTAGCCACGTCGAGTCACGTTAAATATGTAGATTTTGACTCTTCAATTTTACTACCTTGATACGTCGCGAAGGCTACGAGAGATTAAACGCTTTGCGGTATTTTCACCATAGCACACTCTACACGTGGCGAATACGCTATGAGTACCATGACACGAGGAACCGTAATGAATACAAAATTTCATCGACGCGATTATTGCGAATTGTTATAAATTCTATAACGTCATGCAACGCGTGTAGGTAGGTAGAAATAAGTTGAGATTCTTCGGAACCTTGGAAACCTTGGCCGAATGAATTTTTAATTAATAGTTAATAGAGCACGATGCAATTTATCCTCGACACCTGCAAGTTGCCAGCTAAGGATTAGAGCGTTGATTTTGTGCTATATATACGTAAGCTGAAGCCTGAGTATCCATGGAAGCTTCAGCTTAAGCGTTAGAGTAACTAGGTCCATGGTAACTCGAAAATTATACATTCTATTTTTCTTAATTTTCTTTCATCTCTTATCTGCACTTGATTATTGATTCCTAAATGGTGGATTAGCTCGAAAAACTGTAATTGATCATTTGACATGCTCTGATATGAACGTAATGTGTAATTATCTGAGAGGTCAGTGTCCCTTCTTTATAACAAAATAAATAAAAATTATTTACTAATGAAAACACGTATTTTCAAGGTATTTGACAATAAAGTAGGCAAAAATCCACGATCCTCTTTGCTCGAATAAGGCACGTGATAAAGATGATGAATTTTGATTTCAGTGATCGAGTATGTTGGTCCAAAATATCGAACTCTGATGGCGAACATGTCGTTTGGGCTGTATTTCGCGACAGCCTCGAGTATTTTGCCATGGATCGCCTATTGGATCTCGGACTGGAGAATCCTCAGCATGGTCACCGCGTGCCCCATGGTGGTCGCGTTCATAGTACCATGGATCGTCCCTGAAAGTGCACGGTAATGTTCGAATTACAAAGAGACGCGATGCAATTTCTGTTGCTATTAATATCTCGATAATTAACGTATTTTAATTCTTATTCGCATAGTTTGAAATTAAGATTTATCTTAGAATCTTTTCCCTTACTAATCGGAATATCTGATCCTGGGGAAGCGTGTTAATTTGAAAAAATAAAACGGATGAAGATTGCTCGATCTTTCTGAAATCGTCTCAAGGTCGGTTTCTTTTTCTCAATGAAACGATTCGCTTTTTGCTATGCTAAGAGAATGATTAGCACGTTTGAAACGAGTTCGACGATCTTCGTCACGGATCTATTAAAACATCCGAATAAATACATCTCGGTGATATCATAGTTGATCGAGCTGAGAAATTTGCTCGATCATCGATGTTTAGGATGAGAATTATGATCGATCTCGAATTTTCCTCTACGTTTATTTTGCGTTTCGCAGATGGTATATCACTAGTGGAAGGGTGGACAAAGCGATCGAGATGTTGAAGAAATTCGCGAAAGTAAATGGCAAGGAGGTGAAGCAGGAGGTATTCGACGAATTTGAAAAAAGTTGCAGAATGCAGAACGAGAAGGATCAGTCGCATAATCAGTACACCGTCCTGCATCTCTTCAAGATGCCACGACTCAGTCGTATCACTCTCATGCTCATAGTTTACTGGTGAGTTAATTATACCTTTAATTATGAATCGAATCGACAAGTTAAAAACCTGGCCGTTTTATGTAGCAACTCTTGTCGTTTAATTCGTGCCAGCTTTGAAGAAATCGATGTTACAGGTAGCAAAAGTAAAATGCGTTCTGCTACAAAAATATTTAACTTCATCGTTCTATAATTCTTCGCAAATTCTTATTCCATAATTTCACGCGAATTTTAATTTCAGTATTATGCAATCCTATAAAAATTATAATTTTAAATTTCCGTAATTCTACGCAAATTTTTATTCCACGGTAGTATAATATTTCCAAAAATATTTTAATCCTGCAATTCTATAATTCGACAGTTCTAGAATTCTTCACAAATTTTTATTCTACAGTTCTATAATATTTTTAAAAAAATTTTGGTCCTATAGTTTTAAAATATTTCCCAAAAAATTTTACTCCTCCAATTCTATAATTCTACAGTTTAATAACTTTACAAAAAATTTTTATTTCGCGGTTCTACAGTCCTACAGAAATTCTACGATTCTACAATTGCACAAAAATTATAATTCTATAATTCTACAATTCCACAAGAATTATAATTTTACGGTTTTACAGTTCCACAAAGATTTGAATTCTACGGTCCCACGATTCTACAAACAATCGTACTTCACGATAATAAATTCTACACTTCACCATTTTACAAAAATAGCAGTTCCACAGCCTTCAGTTCCTCAGACTCGATTATACCGTTAATTAATCCTGCCGATCATATTCGTGCTACTCTATTTCTACAAAGGCGATGCTAAAATAGACGAGGATTGGCATAAATCAGATATAAATCACTGGAATAAATATTAACGAGTGTATCGAGTATATTATGTAGGTCGTTAAGTACCGTTCGTTGTGCATGAGCGCACGATTAACATCGGCAGACAGGAAAAGGTGCTCGCGAGGAATTAATAAACGTTCTCTGAGCTGAGGAACGTATCCGTGACTGGATTCTGGGCTTTTCCAGGCTGCTGATGGTGTGGGTGTTCGACGGCCACGTTTGGAACATGAAACTTTTAGACCCTGACGTTTTCATGTCCTTCTCTCTGGCCTCCCTTACCGAACTTCCGGCCGCGATTCTACTCGCCCTCTTCCTCGACAGATGGGGCAGACGATGGATGGGTTTCGCATCGATGTTCCTCTGTGGCATTTTCTCCTTTGTTGCTCTCGCCACCCCTAATGGTAAGTACTTTTCTCCTTCTTCTTTCCTCTCATTTTTTTTTTCCTTTTTTTCCTCTTTTGATCGATGACTCGTCGATCGAAATTATTCGACAAGATAGTCGAAACGTCGTGCGATGTTACAGAGGAGAGGAATATGAGCTGATGGAAAAAATATGCTGTTCTATTGATCGTCGTCGATTTAGGAATTTAAAAGCGGATTCAAACGTGCTTAAAAGAGCTTGAAAAATTGAGAAACGGAAGCTCGTTGTGGGATTATGCGGGATGTTTTTGCTGCAGATAAAATCGTGCAGATATCTATTTCGATAGAAAGTAACGGCAAATCTTGGGATTATAAAATCGCTAATTCCTCTGAATTTTACTCGAGTATCTGTGTCGATTTCTATTCAAGATTGGGAAATAAATGTCCTTTTACTGGTATCGAAACGATGTACGAAACGTTACAATTTGTGATTAAAAAATAACATCTTATCCCTCGATTTTTGATAATCGTTTCAAGTTCTATTCTCTTACTGTTAACGTCGCAGATATTTCTCTAAAAATTGAAGAATCAGAATTCTTTAATTGATTTTTCGAATATGACACGCTATACAGTGGGTGAAGAAAGTATCAGCATGTGACATGGAAATTCATCTACCCAGAAAATTTTTATTTCAATGAAACTCTGTGCACGTGTAGAGCATAATGAGTTCTACATGGAAAAATTTTTATATGGGCAAAGAATCTTTTTAAGGGAATCAAATAGACCGTCGAAGTTCCAGTACTTTCTCGTGCTCTGATCATAATCATTTTTAGAGCATATTTTGTCAAAAATAAAATGTTTCACTGCAACTTGTACTATTACAAAGAACACTGAAAATTTAATTTCTGATTGCATCTGCTCACAATGATACCTATTATAATGTACATACTCACAGACTTTCATCCAAATTAAAAAATTGAAATCAGAATCTTCTGATTAGGTGACTTTCCCTGTAATTTCCACTGCCATTACAAATCGCGAATAAATAGTTCATTTTAATATCCTCCAACAATTTCATGAACCCCATGCACCATAATAACGAGTCTAGTTAGTTTCCCATACCGTATTTCCCACACAAAAACGAGTTACTTTCGTCACGCGAGTAAAATTATACTTAACAGACCATAGTACGAATAAAATTCGAACACACTCCCAACGTTTGTATAATTTCACTGCAAATGGAATAAACATATTTGCTGAAATTAAATGCTCCTATAATGTACGATTTTCTATTATTAAATGGTGACATAAGGAGTTGAATTAAGTTGAATTACTACTATAATTACTATTCTACTTCTCTACATGGAGTCACGCTTCCCATAAATCCGAGGATAAAAGATGCCCGGAAAAACGACGATGTAGCTTTGCTTTTCCGAATTTCCTCCAGAATTCCCGCTCATTCCTGGCATCCGGATGACATCCAATTTTTAATTGGTCCAAGCTTGCATCTGGCACGTGCACCGCGCATGGAATGCAGCGTTCCCGGCATTTACATATTTCTGAACTTGTTCAAGGTCCACCAACGGTCGCCATGGCAATCGTGGCTCGTCTTGGAGTGAATATCGCGGCGAATATCGGTTTCCAATACGCTGCGGAAATGCTGCCGACCGTGGTGCGAGCCCAGGGTGTGTCTTTGATCCATATCATCGGCTACGTAGCTCATATTTTGGGACCGTACATTGTTTACTTGGTAAGCGGATCAAAATGTCTCCCGTGTCTCCGTGTTCCGAGAATCAGCAGGCTAATTAGCCTGTAATCTCGTAATTAAAATTAACCCCTTCGCTACTATGGGCGCCTATAGGCACTCAGAAATTTTGCGTTTGTGACACGGAGGACGCCTATGGGCGCTTCGAAATTTTGCATTTGTGACATATAAGACGCCTATGGGCGCTTAGAAATTTTGTGTTTGTGACATATAGGACGCCTATAGGCGCTTAGAAATTTTGCGTTTGTGACACACAGGGCATAGTTCGGCTTTCTGACGCGGAGGGTACTTGTTTTCACAAAAATGGCGCACATCGTAACTCAATTCCTGCCGCATGGTACGGCCGCTGCGTATCAAAATCTGCCGTAATCAAGGGGTTAATACTCTCTGTCAGGGAAACAAAAATTGTCGAGACGATAAAGATCGTTCGGAAAGAAATTTTAGTTTCGTGATTAACGACACTGATTTATATTTTTATCTTGGAACCGTTTTGAAATAGAAGAATATCCAAAGGATTTGGAGAATATTTGATATTCCTTGGAGTTTTGACTTTGATTATTTTCTTTAAAATAACGAGGACACTTGGAATTTAATTGCAATGGTTACGACGATTGTATTTCATTATTTAATCTTTGCTTTCGATAATAGCAAATATTTCTATTTATCTCTTGAATTGTCTGAAAATGGAACAAATGAGTTTCTTTAAATTAGCAAACAAACGGAGAATTTAATTGCAGTAGGCATTACGATCGTAGCATATTCAATTACATTAATATTCGAATTTTTAAAAGCCTTTGAATTATGCGACAAGCGAATGAATAAAACATCTGACTTTAATCTTTGATTGATTTTCTAAAGTTACGTTAAGAATATGTAATTCAATCCTGGTAGCTGCATTAATTATAGAATCTTTAATTATAATGGCAAAGTGTACAGGGAATGAAACGAGTTACAAAAGGAATATTTAAACGTTTAATCTCCATCGCGCTATGAAAGGATAAATAAAATACGTCGCCATTATGTGAAAAAAATTTGTTCGAGGGAACAGTACAAATACATAATGCAATTTCAATAGTTACAACGATTATACTGTCTTTAATTATGGTAAAAATGTGTAGGAAGCCAGCGAGAATCGCAGAAATGGTATTTAAACAGGTTCTCGATTATGTTGCGAAGGAATGAATAAAATATGTCTCTTTTTGCTCCACTTAGGCTGACGTTGACGCGGCTTTGCCTCTCGTTGTCCTCGGCTTGCTGTCCTTTGGACACGCCTTCCTGACACTCGGATTACCGGAAACGCTGAACCAGGATCTTCCAGAAACACTTCAGGAAGGTAACGACTTTGGCAAAGAGCAAAGTTTCTGGTGGGTCCCGTGTATATCCTCGTAAGTGTCAATTCTCTTTACAATTACTCTCTAACTACGTACGCAGGATGTCAAAGAAAAGAAAGGACTCGAGCATTTAAAGGCTCATAGTACTCGCCGAGATGCGAAAAAATGTCTAATTACCATACCTTCTAAGACTAATTCTATTGACGAAAAATCGGCTTCTATTATTTATCTAATTTGAACCTCTTTTCTAACCCTTCTTTAACCCTTTGTCTTACATCCTTATCTTTCAACCCCTTATTTCCTTATTCCTTTTATCCTTTCAACCAATTTTAATTCTTTATCTTGAATTTTATACCCTTTATTTTGAACCCTTTTTTAATCCAATGTCTTGAACTCTCTTTTAAATCCTTAGGTCTTGAACCCTTTTTCTGAATCCTATGCCTTGAACTTCTTTTACGGTCCTTTGTCTTGAACCCCTTTCTTAGTCCTGTGTTATGAACTTCTTCTTAAATTCTTTACCTTAAATCCTTTTTTAAATCCTATGACTTGAACTCTTTTTTCATCTTTGATCTTGAACCCTTTCTTGAATCCTATACTTTGAACTGTTTTGAAATCCTCTATTTTAAACCCTTTCTCAGTCCTGTGTTTTGAATTTCTTCTTAAATTCTTTATCTTGAATCCTTTTTTAAATCCTATGTCTTCAACTCTTTTTTAATCCTATGTCTAGAGCAATTTTTTAAATCCTGTCTTGAACGCCTTTCTCAGTTCTGTGTTTTGAACTTCTTCTTAAATCTTTTTTTTAATCTAAAGTACTTTTTTAAATCCTATGTCTTGAACCATTTTTTAAATCCTTTTATCTTGAACCCTTTTTTAAATTTAAAAATTAAATTTTTAAATGTTTTGAAATCCTGTCTTAAACCCTTTCTTTAATTCTTCGTCTCGAACCTTTCTTTTTAGCAACCTGTATACCGCGATATTCGCGTCATAAATTCGATAACAACGTTTTATTCGAACTTCACAGGAGCAAGATGCTGAAGAAGTCTTACAGAAAGAAGAAAGGCCTGTCGAATCCAGCCTTCGCTGGCAGTGTTCAAAAGATCGACTGCACTAGATTATAGCGGCTTATCGGTCGCGTGAAACTTGCCAAATCCTTTGTAAATATAGTTGTTAAACGTGCGAGTGTGATGTTAGACGTTAAGCTATCGCGAACGTGCTGAGAACTGTCGAGAGACGTAGGAAGAAGCGCGAAGCCGACGCAGTGCAGTGAAAGAGACAAGATGCGTCGAAATCCGCCATTGTACGATTGATCGATTGAAGAAAAGCGTGCTATGCTTCCCGTGCAAGCGTACAATCGATTTCGGTATTAAACGCGTGTGCTGAATCAGTGTCTTCCTGTCATCGTAGTATTTATACCGCTTCCGTTTCAAAATTAACACTAGAATTACCAAACAAATCAAAATCACTCGTCCCACAAGATTTCTGCACTTTTTCCAAAAATATCCGACTGCTTTGACAAAACCGCTCTCGATTTTCCTGCAAATTGAATTACAACTGCGTTTACGTTTTCATTTTTATTGTAGCACTTTCATCAACCCATTCACACAGATTATCGAATCTTTATCATTAAATTAAATCGTGTAGATATTTAGAAAATATTCAAAACACGATGTTTCAGTGATTCGTGAAAGCCAATTTGTTGAATTCCAATCTTCGAATTTTTCAAAATTTTAATAACGAAAATTAATTAATTAATAAAGCACTTGATTAATTCTTGATTGTTTATATCTAAAATAATTTTCTAATTTTTATTCATATATATATATACACATCACGATTACCTCATAATTCGAATTCGTGCTCTGTAATAAAACGTGGAAAGGACATTCACTCAAAAAGAATTCAAAAATATTACCAACAATTTACCATTAATATAATTAAGTACTAGGTAGTTCTAGTGTTAAAAAGGAATGGTCCATTTTTCTTTTCTATTTTCCTTTCTTTTTTTTTTTCTTCTTTTTTTCTGATCAATATCGTGGAAATTTCGACGAACAGCGAAGCAAGGAGAGATCGTAGCTTTACCCGAGTTGCTTCGCGTCCCGCGAATGACAAAGGACCGTCTTCCTCGCCTATCGTCGAGCTGTCAACTTGTCTCGTTTACTGCGAACCGTCTTTGTATCTATAGTTGACTCAGAAGTCGTGGAGGCCCGAGTCGAGAGGTTCGATCGACTCTTAAACCGAAGTACTTGCGTTCGACCAACGCGATTCTTCATCTTCCATTTCCGGACACGTCCAACGGCGCGAGATCCTCGAGATCGCGACTCGCCACGATCCTCAAACGAGATCCAAATTCTTCAGCTCCTATGTTCTCCGCTCTGCTTCAGTATTAAATCGAAGAGCACCAATAAACGCAACGGGTCGTCGACCAGTCGTGAACCATGTTCAAATGACTAGTTCCAATTAGAGTTAATTAATTCACGAATTTCCATAAACGCTCAGGTTTGAACGTTGTCTCGAGCTGATCGAAACTCCGTCGCGAACTCGGCCGTGAATAGCGAAATTTTTAATAGCCAAATTCTCCCTAAGATCTTCGCCCTAAATGCTCGATCTACGTTTGCACCGTTCAACCATGATTCTTGGCAGTTACGATCATCCGATCGTTAGTCACTCGCGTACTTATGAGACTAGTCCCCGCTTTCGGTCCCCTATTCGAGAACCAGCGATTGAAACTCGTAGTATGAACACCGATCTTACTCTTCTGTGCTGACACCTTCGATCGTTTCTCGGAGTTTAAGATCCTGCCGGATCTTCCTCGCTGCAAATTGACTTGTACATAAGTAACCGATCGATCCTGCAACGTCGCGTAGCGAGAAGGGTGCAAGAAGAATCAGTTCGATCATCGTGACACGGTGTGATCGACGATTCGATCGTTCGAGATTCGGAAATCTCGGACTAGAGAATTCACGTTTGATACGTTAATAATAACGTAATAACTTATGTGATCGTTATTTGTGAAGCTTCTAATCGTAAGACAGAGCCAGGCTAGGTGTACAGTCGTGAACGGTGATCGCCGATCATTGATGTATTTAATTATAGACATTTAGCGTTTATCTTTGTGCGGAGGGTGTCACGACGTGTGTGAGAAAATAAAGAAACAGAATTATTTCTTAGATCGTGTTTTCAGGGACCTTTGTTCCGTAAATCAGTCCCGTGAACGCGTGAGCGATGTAGAAGGATGATCGCGAATACGCGTAAACCAGGTAAACCAGGTGTGTCTCATCGATCAGTAACGTCGATCGCGTTGTTACTGCCACAACAACGTTGGACGTTGATCAATCATGCGATGTTCTACGATGATAATTTGTTACAAACATCCTTCTTTATTCTCTTTTTCTTTTTTCTCGAATCGTACGAACAGATTAGGCTCTATTTACGTTAAGTGTACATACGTTTGAGCTATAATGTGTCTAGAGACATGTCCCGCAGTTGGTACTCGATGAAGAGTTTCAACGACAACTAAAATCCCTGCGTTCTGATTAGTATTAATGATTTTTGGATGTAATACAAATGGGAGACTCTGAGAAAGAGAAGATTTTCGTGGATAGTCGTTGTTTAAAATATGTAACGCTTGTTCTGTTTATTTGGTAATGTTATTCGAACGTTATCGATCATTCTCGATTTTCCAAACGATACTTCATCGAGTATATTTTGCTTCAAAGAATTTTAGAGACACTGAAAAACGAAGTATCTGCATTCGTAATTAAATTCGTAAATTTAATTAGGTTTATTATAATTGCGATTGGAAATTAGAATTAAAATTATAAAAGCTCTTAAGATAAATGGTAACAATAAAAACTGTATAGGAACACGATTTCTAAGTTTGTTCTTGCTTCGCTCGTCACGAGGCACGATTAAAGAGTAATTACGATTACTTAGAGATAAGAGATAAGAGTAAAAAATTAGCGCAAGAATACAGAAATGACAGGTAAGATTTTCGCGTAGAAAAATCGTCAGGCTAGTCCTAGCATAATGGTACTTTCAACCTGATTCTTCATCCGTTTCCCTTCTTCTCTCGTGTTTTAATCGAGTTCGCGATTGAAAAATTCAATCGCTATTGTTCGCATGAGTGATAATGCGGATGCCCATCGTATTGCGACTTCTTGTAACACGGTAACGACCAGAAATTTTGGTCCCTTCCGAATTCCTCGCCTTGTTTGATCGTCTGAGGAAGGTTCTGGCCCAAAGTTTCCGGAAGGAACAAAACGAATGTGGCGCCAATGAAAGATAAGATGCTGATGATCAGCATTGGAAATTCCTCCCAAATTGCGGCCTAATCAGACAAATTTCAATCATTTAAACGTGCATTTTAGATTGTCAGGTTGCTTTAGATTATTTTAGATTAGTTGGACGTGTCACAGAAAGCTTCCTAATATTAGAACTAAATTTTTGTACATATAGATAATAATAATTAGAATGCTATGGATGGAAATAATCATGTTCCTATCTGAATAAAAGTCTACGTTAATTATGTCAAAATTATTTATACATTTTACGTATTAAATATATTTTTATCTAAAAAATATTTATAGCTTCTAGTGAAATGAAATTGTTAATTAATAGCTATCTATTTTACGATATTTAGGTACACGTTACGGGTCAGCAATATCAGTGTTAGTAAAGTATTTTTGTTAAGTATTTAAAACGACGATTGGGAAGATTTATTTACCGAATCGGTGATGTACGACGCCAGAGTGTGTGCGATTATTCCAAAAATGTGAATCAAAGACACACCCTGCGACCTAACTGGAGTTGGCAGTAGTTCTGCTGCATACTGAAGACCTACGTTGGCCGCCATGTTTAAACAGAACCGCGACATCACTGACATCGCTAATTTAGCCATCACTGAACAGAAAAATAAGAAACAACATTACCTCCATATACCAAAATTGTTTAAAACTGGATTAAAAATTACGATACACATTCCGACAATCAGTTCCCCAATCTATGCTAATATCAAACTTAAACTTCCCCGAATACGACAAAAGAAAAACATATCCAATTGACAATTATTGTTACATAATTCTATAAATTTGACTTTGGAATCCAATCTTTTCACGTACATACACAGATTTCCATTTGGATCAAGATCGATGTTATTAAATCGTTACAAATTTCTACTCGTGTCTCTGCAATAGGACTTCGATTAATCGGCTTAATTGCTAAACAGAACTCGGATGAATCCAGACCTCGATGAATTGAACGCTCTGTCGTAGCAATCTTCTCGAGACATACAATGAGATATATCTTACAATGAGATATACTCCCCGCCAGTAATCTTAAGATTCTAAACAGATAAGATAATTCGAAACCTGGTTAATCCGAGTTGTTCCATAATCTATTACTTTCAAAGCTTCTTTTGCTACTTCAAACATTCCTTCCCCATCTTTATTCTAATTTAGCTTCCGGTAACCCTCGATTACATACATCATTCGTCACTAAACCATTGCTGTCGCGATATTCTAATTGTATTAATTCCTTAATCGAACAGAGATGCATATTTACTAGAACTGAAGAGCAATTCGGCGATGCTGAGGATGCAGGTGAGCGACAGGGTGAGGAACCCACAGACCCTGCGACCCCATCGATCGAGCACCAGGGCGAGCAGGAACCCGGCCGGAAGTTCCGTGGAGCAGGCCAACGAGAACGACACGAAGACCGAGCTCTGGATAAGTTTCAGCGAGTACACGTGGCCATCGAACGAGATCACGGTGAGAGACCTGTAAGATGACACCGGTTATTCGTCTAGTTCCCTCCGGATCGTTTCTTATACTTTCCAGAATAGCACCAGGAGAATGGTGTTCTTGGCTAGCCGGGGCGATCTGAACAGGTCGATCACCGTTGCTGTTTCCTGCACAGCGTCCGACGACTCCAGATTGCTCTGCAATAATTAATTCGCGAGAGTAACGGGGTGTGTGAATCACGCTGGTGATCCGGAATAGGCGTAAGTTGTTGGATGTCGAGGAGAACTGTGAATTTTTGTAATTTTGTAAGAGGTTCAATGAATGGGATTTATTTGCGAATTTAGGAATAGAGATAGCGATGATAATTAAAATTAACATATTAACGTGGATTTTGAAATTATTACTTAAAAACTGCGCGATTTATGATCGTTTCAATTTTGCAGAGAAGTGGGGGGTAAAGAATGCAGAACGTCGTGAAAAAGTTTCAAACAGCATACAAAAAATATTTAAGAAATATTCCGAATATTCAATGGTTAACATTAATTAAAATATTGGTAATATTTAGATACTAAAATTAGAAATTGCGGAATTTCTAATTGCTCTAATCTTGAAGAAGTCAGAGAAGAACAAGGAATGCAAAGAGTCGTAAAGCAACAGCATGGAAAATATCAAAAAAATATTTCGAATATTTGATATTCAATATGCAAATATTTAAAAAATTTGTCTCGAGGAAAAATAAAATATTTATGAAACAAATTTTTAAGAAACATGCTCGAGATTTCTAAAAATTCTGTGCTCGCGTCTCTATCTGTACCTACCCTCTGATCTACATACAAACAGCAACAACAAAATCACGTCGTAGAGGTATATACAACACGAAGCAATAAAACGTGCAAACAACTGGAAGAAGGAAAACCAAATTTTGTTACAGAGGCATAGTCGATCACGCCGTGTCCAATATGGCGGATCAACCGAGCGATTTCACACGATCTCGTAAAATTCTATTTGAACTTACGACGAATGCATCGTAAATACGCAAGTCCGGATTCTTGCGATTGATCCTGGCAATTCTTCGGAGCTTCTCCACAACCTTGTCCGTCATCCCATTGGAAACGTACCACCTTGCAATGGCAAATATTCATCGTGTGACATGCAAATTTGCCTCATTTCCAAGCGGAAGTGTACGGCCGATTAAGCGTTTGCTTACCGAGCACTCTCCGGCAGTATCCATGGCGTGATGGCGACTGATAAGAGCGGTATGGCTGTGACGTAAGCGAAATACCTCCAGTTCGAGATATAGTACGCTATCCATGGTAAAATCGTGCTGGCCACCGCGAAATATACCCCGAACGCGACGTTGACTACCAAAGTGCGTTTAGACACTGCCATGTACTCCAATACTGTGAACCAGCGGAAAAATAATTAGCAACCGATAGAATATAGACAGACATTATTGAAAAAGTAACCAGATACTCCAAGTCAATTGTTATCATTCGCATCACCACGTCGGAGGACCGAAGACTCATCGAACGAAGCTGATTACTATTAATCCAAAGCAATTGAACAATCCGACGATTAAAGGCCAAGCTTTATAAAATTGTATTACGAGCACGATTTAATTCAGATTTCCACCAATAAATATTCATCCACGCGATTTATTTCTGAGGGCTACTTAAGAGCTAGACTCTCGTCACGATCGATCATGATCGATCACTGTCAATCAACGATTAACGGAGGTCGTCGAGGAAATTAGCTTGAAATTGCTGTCTAGGTAAAAATAACCTATGATATTCTGAATCCAGCGTGCGATTTCCACGGTTCATTATCTCGAATGCAACGAAAATATCGGCTTAAATATTTTAGACCCTCTCGGTCTGCGAATTCTACGCGAGCTCACCGATGATTAGGGGAATGTTGATGCAATTGTCGAACGCGATCCCGGTGAGAAACCTGCAGATAGCGAAGGACCAGAAACTATTGGCACTGGCAGTGGCTATGGAGCTGAAAAGGGCGATGGTGTTGCAGAACATGAGAGCTGGGATGCGACCCTTGTGATCCGCGATCCAGCCGACGAGGAATCCGCCGACGATGGAGCCGCAGAAGAAGATGGCCTGCGCCGATGATATCAGGTATTCTCGGTCGCATACCCAATCTAGCTAATTATCAAGGGCTAAGAGTTAGTCAGTGATAAGGTTTTAGTTGCTCGTTTGGTAATTTTAGTCATTAGCAAATAATCATCTAGGTCTAACTATTAGTCAGTGTGAAAATTGTATTATTTGTTAATTACCTCTTCCTTAATGCTGGTCATTAACAAATAATCCTCGAGAGTTAAGAATTAATCGGTGGGAGAGTATGATTATTTATTAATTACTTATTTCTCAATGCTGGTAATTAATAAATAAATTTCGAGAGCTAGGAATTAGTCACTGAGGGGGTATGATTATTTCTTAGTTATTTGTTAATATTATTGTTAGTAAATATTAATATTACGTAAGATTATTATTTATTTATTTATATTCTACGGATTACTCTCCCTTTCTTAAACATATCTCGCGAATTGACAAGTAGTTTTCTAATATTAATAATAATTAAACAATTATTACATACGATAGCTTTTCTCGAAATTCCTCCAATTTAAAATTTTAACTTCGTGCAAAGACTTAAAGAATTTTGTCATTTTTGTCATTAAAGATTTAATGTCACGAGTGAATCCAAATTTTGATTAAATTATTTCTCAACTTCGGAATACCTGCTTCAAAATGTTAACACTCGTTTCGTATCGTTAAATCATAGGTTATCGCAGAAATTTGAATTATTTCACTCACTTCCAGAATCTTGGATTTTATCTCGCACTTCCAAGTATTAATCATCCTTACGGAATACAAATTCAGATTAACGACGAATAAACAATTCGAGCCAGACACAGACGTACGTTCACCTATGACCCAGCGATACCAAATCTACATAAGTTACATAAGTTACGTGAGTTACATAAGTCACGAGCGTAAAATCAATTGTGAGAGCATAAAAATTGTAAATTTCGAATTATGACGAAAAGTACAAAGTACCTATCGCGATAATACTTATCGTATTGGGTGGCCGAAGCAAACAAAGCAAATCTCTCGACTCGAGAAATGTGATATAAGCATAAAAAGACACTCGGAAGGTACTTCACCTCAGTTCCTATACTGGGATACGGAATCTGCGTGAAATTGTATTCCCATCGAGTACATTCCACCGTTTTGTTCGTCTGGAACTCGAACGAGCGTAGATCCTTCCCGCTCTTCAGCATCTCCGCGAAGTTCAAGTCCTTCCGGTGACACTGGTCGTAATAAGGGTAGTCGTTCGTTCGTGGAATCGCTATTCGAACCCTAAACACCGAGCGAAAAATCGACGATTCGATCAGTGGAACAAAAACGATAGAAACTCGAGGAAAAATAATCCTAGAATTATAAAATACTATCCAATAACCTAGAAACTTCTACTACTCGTCTGAACCCTCCATTTTAGCTTATCTCTCGTTTCCATCGTGCAGAAATTCACGCACTTGCTGACAAGAGATAAGAAACAAAACAATGATTCGCGAATTCTTTACATTCTGTATTTTCTAAGAGTCATGTATTAAAATAAAATGTAATATATAATATTTAATCTATTTTCTATATTATATATTCATTCTATTAAAATAACACCGGTTTGTATACACTATAGCAACTAGCATGACAACAAATCGAACTCGTCAAGTATTCTAATACACGAAAAATATTGCACAAATATTGTACACATCCTTTCGCAATTTTTAGCGAGAAGGGAATATAACTAATAAATATGTAGAGTATAATTAAAATTAAATACTCGTTTTTATACAATTTTACAATTTTTCATCTACCTCGGAGGATAAAGAATACACGATTACTCTGTGCCTTCACCTTTACCGGTAATTACACATACCTTTCTTCCCGAGTGAGATTCGTGTTCACCAGCTCGTCTACCAAGCACCAGTGTTCGATCGGGATAATAGTGATGAAGAATTGCGAGAAGTACAAGAAGGCGTAGGTGATGCCATAAGGCAACAACGACAGCAGTAGCAGCCACTGGTACCTGCCGTAATCCCCGACATAGGGCAGAACGTCGTCAAAGTCTTCCAGTTTCGGCCTCAACCTTGTCGATTCGTTAGGTCCAATAGAATTGCTCGAAATCTTCGAGTCCTTCATCTCGCTGAAACAACCCGAGTCGGTTTCCATCACAACCAAACGATCACCTTCGCGCGAGTATATGTACGCACAACTCGATCACCGGGGACGGAAAAGAGGACACTGACGAACAGAGACGATGTTCGGGAATTAAAATGCTCGGAAAGCAAGCCGACGATGTGGCAATTCCACCGATTAGCGCGATAAACAATCCCCACTGGAAGCTGGCCAAGCGATTAGTCAAAGATCTCGATCCTTACCAGCCGTTCATGCTGCTTCCGTGCCTCCAGCAGAGTGGTCGCGGGAGCAAGGAAGATCGAGGATCGACGGTTGCTGAGCCGCGAGTGGCGATCGAAAGACGTCGAAAAACGAACTGAAACAGTGGCCAAAGCCCGGTGTTCGCCTCGTTTTCGATTCGGTTAAACGGTAAATTGAGTGTAAGTGTTTGTTCCAGTGCCGGGCAATTATTGTGCCGGGAAGTCAAGTGGATCGAGTGACACGCGACTCTGTCAAAATTGAATTGCAAACGAGACGCGTCAGCGATCGCGCGGAATGATTATAAAAGCGGCTGATTCAATGTAATTGTACTTACGGCTGTCTAGAGAAAGTTTAGTGGGAGAAATGGCGCGGAGACATTGGTTGAGGAATCAGATAGGACATTGGTGCCGGGATTGCTATCGGAATTGATGTCGGAATTGGTGTCTGAATTGGTGTTGGTATGTTTGAGGACTTTGGATACAAGGATTGCATGAATCATAATTTTTTGTAGTTGGAATTCATTTTAGCTTTGTAATTTAGTTTGGGATTTACTGGAATTTGGTTTTTAATTGTAATGTGCGAAAGAAAGGGTTGCCCTTGGAATTGATGATAGTTTGGTGATTTAGTTTGGAATTCATCGAAATTAATTTCTTATTTCTCAAGTGGAAGATGTGATAGTTTTGTGATTTAGTTTGGGGTTTACTGGAATTTGGTTTTCATTTGTAAAATGAAAAAGAAAGGGTTTTCTTTCTTGGATATAAATTTGGATACCCTGCATGTCTTCGTGGATGATTTGAATAAACATTTGGTTAAATGGATTACACGGTTTGATTTCAGTTTTGATTTCAACGCTACACTTTATAATTCGACAAAGTAGAAATTTGGGAAATTTGGGAATAAAAAATAAAACTGGTTAATTAACTATTCAAAAATTCAAACTCCGATGATTTTGGATCAAATGTTTCTGTTAACTTTAGTACTACCGAAGTGATCAACGTAACAGCTTTATCAAAAATATTCAGCTATTCTTAGAGGAATATTATTATATAATATTATTATATTATTAAAATATTATTAAAATATAATATAATAATATTAATAACGTTATTCAAAACAGAAACGTAATTATATGTACCTAATCATTCTCACAACAAGACTTTAATTATTCTCATCTATGTACACTATATTTAGGTACTCATATGGGTCACTGGCTCTAGTGATAAAAATATTCGAGACTCCTGAGATAATTTGAAGTACACGTAGTGATTGAAAGTTGACCGATTAGTCAATAAATTTGGATGATCAATTTATTTTTAAATCGCACGTGGATCTGCGATTCGTATTATTGCACGAAAGAAACGAATGGAAATGTTTAAGAAGAAAGTCTCTTTGGGGACATGGATGTCGATTAGAATAACTAATGCAATACTACCACGGGCATGAAAATGATCGAATACCCGAAATAACTGACCTGTTTGGAAAATAAGGCAACGAGAGATTTGCGTGCTTCAAAGCCATGGCGAATTCGCGTGTGTGCGTGTATATGCGTGTGTGCGTGTATATGCATGTGTGTATGCGTGTATATATCTAGATAAAAGCACTTCTTCCTTAAATACGATGATAAACGAATTAGTTTCAGGGTTCATCCTTGACCATGCGAAGATAAATTTCACGCAATGGGAAAAAAAATTTTATGGGAGATCTTGATATTATCTTAATACCTTACAAACACTCGATAACATACTCTGTTTACTGTCAAGTGATATCACTGCTGTTTAATCTATAAAATACGTTACATAGTATAGGGGGATTAACTCCTTACATAATGACAATTTTCATTGTTTCTCTTTTTTCATGGAATTCAAAAATCAAGAATCAGAATCATTATTACAAGCATGGAAACGATTCGATGATAAATAATTTACAACCTAAATTTGAGACCTACAAATTAAATTGAAATTAAAAATTGATTAAAGAATTTTCATGCTCAGATTGACTAAAAAATTTAATATTCCGCGGACTGGAAACAGTGGAATACTCCCATTCAAAGGATGAAATTTACGAGAAAAATTTTTTTGCAATAGTGGTTCGATACGAAAGAAGACATCATAGAAGAAATTATTAATTTTTTAATTAAAATGATAAGAGTAACATTTTCCTAAAATATCCAATCCCTTATAAAATATTCCACTACTTCCACTTTTTAAAAAAACCCCTGCACAATTCCCTTAATTTTATTTTTTAAAATTTCGTAATTTAAATTGAAGGTTTGTCTTGAATATGTAAAAATTCTCCCAAAATTGTATTCTTCGATAAAAATATTTAACGAAATATATACCGATTATATACTTGGATAAAAATGATATACTTTCGAGTCTTTCGATACTTTGACCGACGATTACTCTGTCATCGTTGACTCTCTATTTTGATTCCATATCGAGGCTAATCCTCGCCGAATTTTCTCACCAAACGTCAACAAAAGCAACGAAATTCGTGTTTAGGAGAAAGTATGTAAACAGAAAGATTTGAAGTCTTACGTGTCGTTAGATTGCTCGATAATTCACTCTAGCCTAGCAGTCTCCAAACTGACCACTCCCTGGATCTTCGTCCTTCGCGATACGCGATTTTCCAGTGACCACGATCGATTAAACTCGATCAGATCCACCAGCGTCACCGGCAGCACGATTCTACGATTATGTCAACAAGAATTTACGTAATCAGCAATTGAAAATTTCCATAATCGAACCATCTTCCTCGTTGCACTGGGTCGTATTAAAACGCGTCTTCGCTTCCTCGTGCCGATATTTATCGACCAACTTCTAATCCACGAGATCCAACCGACTCAAATCTCTCGAGCCTCTTATCGAAATTTATCGTAGTATTTTTACACAGAATTTTTCCGCATGATTTTTCCGCACGATTTTTCCACACAATTTTTCCACGCGATTTTTCCGCCACTGCAACGGTGTGATAAAAATAAAAATTGATTCACGTGCTTTAATTCGAGAAAGAAGTAATATCAGGATTAAACACGTGATCGGTAATAATCAGTATCGCAGAAAAGGTGGAGTCGATGGTAAAAAGGAAAGCTCAGTGTGCTTTCTGCCGAGGAAGAGACGATATCGACGGTTAAAAGAACGATCGTCACGATTTTCCTCGAAGATGGATCGAAATCGGTAGTAAAACGATCTTCGCAATTTCGTTCGAGGAAGAAGAGAAATCTTTGGTCAAACGGTCGTCATAATTTCTGTCGAAGGTGAACTGGGAGTCTCTGGTTGAACAGACGATTAACACATTTTCTTCCAAACGAATGGAACCGGTAACACAAAGATCGGCGTAGTTTCTTCCGAAGAATCGCTGCAATTTTTAGTCAAACAGTTTTCTTCAAATGGTTGAAGGTAGAAGCACGAGAAACGATCATCGCAGCTTGTCTCGAACCATAAGTGGAAGCTTTAATAAAATGTTTCGCATGAGATCGATAGTGCAACAAACAATCGTCAACGTTTTCGCCCAGAAAGAACTCCAATCAAATGTTTTTCTCCAAAGTGGAAGAATCAGTGACACAACAAACGATCGACGTTGTTTTCCTGGAAGAACAGGTCAAATCTCAAATCAAATGTTTCCCTTGGAAGACAAATATAAAACTGTTTTCCTCCAAGGTAGCAGAATCGGTAACACAATGAAAGATCGGCGGAATTTCCTTCCAAAAGGAACTCGTAGATGTCTCTTATCAAACGAACGATCGACGCTATTTTCCTTGAACTCGGAGAACTCTGATCTGATATCAAACGCTTTCTTCTGAATTGATAGAATCGGTAGCACAATGGACGATCGTCGCAGATTCTTTTGTAGAAAAACTCAAGTCTATCATTATTCTTAATTCTCCAAATTCTTAAAACCGGTAGCACAAGGAACAATAGTCACACTTTTCTTCCAAAAACAACTCGAATCGGATATTTTTCTTCCAAATTTTCAAAATCGATAGCACACCAAACGATCGTCGTAATTTCTTTCCAAGGAAAACTCGAATCTCGCGTCAACGTCTTCCACCAAATATCCTAAAATCGGTAGCACGCCGAACGATCGTCGCAATTTTCTTCCACGAACAACTCAGATCTCAAATCGAACCTCCTGCCAAATTTTCAAAATCGATAGCACACCAAACGATCGTCGCAATTTCTCTCCAAAGAAAACTCGAATCTCGCGTCAACGTCTTCCACCAAATATCCTAAAATCGGTAACACACCGAACGATCGTCGCAATTTCTTCCCAAAGAAAACTCGAATCTCACGTCAACGTCTTCCATCAAATTTCCTAAAATCGGTAGCACGCCGAACGATCGTCGCAGTTTTCTTCCACGAACAACTCAGATCTCAAATCGAACCTCCTGCCAAATTTTCAAAATCGATAGCACACCAAACGATCGTCGCAATTTCTTTCCAAGGAAAACTCAAATCTCGCGGCAACGTCTTCCACCAAATTTCCTAAAATCGGTAGCACGCCGAACGATCGTCGCAGTTTTCTTCCAAGAACAACTCAGATCTCAAATCGAACCTCCTGCCAAATTTTCAAAATCGATAGCACACGAAACGATCGTCGCAATTTCTCTCCAAAGAAAACTTGAATCTCGCGTCAACGTCTTCCACCAAATATCCTAAAATCGGTAACACACCGAACGATCGTCGCAATTTCTTCCCAAAGAAAACTCGAATCTCGCGTCAACGTCTTCCATCAAATTTCCTAAAATCGGTAACACACCGAACGATCGTCGCAGTTTTCTTCCAAGAAGAAGAAGAGGAACAGGTATCTCTTGTCAAACGAACGACCACCACAGTTTCCCTCGAAGAAAAAGCAGAGCCTTCGACCAACTCCGGTTAAACGAAACGATCGTGTCGGTTTCCCTCGAGCAAAGAGCAATCGTCGATCGAACGATGACGCGATTTTTCTCCGCAGAAGAGAAGAACGGAATAGCGTCCGATACTCGCGAGGACTTGCACGAATATGAAGGGGAAGCCGACTCGCGTATCGTTGATATAGAAGCTTGCTTAGCGAAGACGAACGCGATACCCGATGATACGAGTCTGCCAATAGGGAAGGAGAGGATCGAGAGGAACAAAGGGAGTGGAAGAACTGATAATCGAACGAGAAGAATTTAGCATAAGTTTCGGATCGTTAGTACCACGTGTTCGCTACCGATCCAGATCGACTTGTCCAATGGCAGCAAAATTGGAAATTTATCGCTAACCGTAATTAATCCACGTTCCTAAATTGTCTATTTTTATAAATTAAAATTGTCCAAAATTTTATATTAGACGCTGTTGATTTCTTCATCTGATTTCTCGATCTTTCTTTTGATATACGTGTCATAAATTTCTCACTATTTTCTTTCGATTTATTTTTCTTTTTTAAGAGCTTTCATTTTTTGACTGGTCGTGGTGGGGTTAGCGTTAAAAAAGATTCTGCTGTTTACTGGTTATTTCGTCTGCTTTCGTATTTTCTGGTATGAAATTAATAGAGATTTAGAATCAGTGATTGGAAGATATTAATTTAAAAATCGCTATTTTTAGCTGATTTTTGTAGAATGTTTTAATAAATGTGTAATTAAGTATTACACAAAATTGGGAA